CGCCGACGACTGGAACGGGGTCTGCGAGAGACACAGCCATTAATTACCCAGGGAACAGCCCCACCTGCCCAGAGCCTCCTCCTCCTCCTCCTCCTGCTGCCGCTGTGCTGGGCTGGCTGCTCTGAGCAGCCCCACTCCAAACACCGGGTGCACGGTGCGTGGCTGTTCCTCCTCCACAGCTTTTTGGGAAAGCTGCCTCCTGCAGCAGGGCCATGCTGGAGTGGCCTGGCCTGGCCTGGCACTGCCCTCGCAGCCTGGCGCTGCCGCATGCCCTCGGTGCAGCATGCAGGGTGGAACATGCCAGAGCCTGAGCCGGCCACAGATGCAGGAGGGGCTGCACGCTGAGCCCAGCACTCCCCAGGATGCTGCCGATCCAGGGCTGCCTCTCACCCCTCCCTGCAGCACATTCATCTGAAGGGGACACTGAGAGAATGAAAAGGAAAAGAAAAGCAGTTTCCTTCCTCTGTCGGATGGCTTTGAAGGGATTTTCAGCTCCTTCAGCGACCCGAGGTGGGATGATCCCACCTGGACTCTTATCTCCCTGACATCCTGAGCAATGATTCCAGAGCAGGAGGATGGCAGGGCAAGGACAGGGAAGATGAATTCCCAGGCTGGACTGGAAAGCTCTCACATTTTCCACAGCCCTTCCCAGTGTGTGCCGGGGGTCAATCTCTGCTCGTCCTGCAGCACCAATTTATGGCTCTCCGGGGAGAGAAACCCTCCCAGCCCTGCGCTCCTGCCAATGCGAACAGCTTTGCTGAGTCCCTCAACACCATCTGTTTGGAAATCCAAAATTTCCTCCTCCATTCAGGTGCTGCACGTGGCAAATGCACTGTCCTGTCTGCCAAGCCATGAAACCATCTGGCTCCCACATTCATCCCTTTTTCTTTGCCTTTTCTGCTTTTCTTTTTTTTTCCAAGTGTCAGCTTTGGCTGATGAAAAGATTATTTCTATAAAGCTTTGCATTTATTTTGAAAGGCTTTGTTTGTATGAACTTTTTAAAGAGACTTTCTACTATTTTAAACCCTTTTCTCTTCAGTAAATATTGGGCTCCTCACCCTCTCTGCACACACAGGCTGTGTTAACAGAGCTGCAGAGGGGCTCTGGTGTTTATTTTCTCATTTCAGGGCCAACATTTTATATGCAGCAGAATATTTAAGGCAACAGGGGACTAGAAAGGAGCGCAGTGACTTTTTACAGGACTCTCAGCACTTCGGATCGTGGGGTTTGTGCTTCACTTCCTCACTTGGCTGAGAAATCTCAAACAGAATCTCAATTTTAAGGGGCTTAAATTCAAACACGGTGCTTTAATCTCTGCTGCGAGCACTGAGCAACAATCCCCACACACAAGTGGGAATATTCATCATTCCAAAGTGACAAAAGGTCGCAAACTCCTCCTTTTTGCTGTTGTTACAGCCCAAAAGGCAGCAAAACTCGCAAATACGTGCCTGGAAGGTCAACAGGAAAAGCAATTTCCTATGTCAGGGGTGTCAGCACAGTGCTGCTAAAAAAGGAGCAGCCAGCCCCGAGCACAGGGCTCACCTGGAATTTAAAGGGAGGCCAAGGCAGAAAATTGGAAAGGCAAAAAGTTCCATGTAAAACCAGCTATTTCTTAGGGTTCTACCTTTCACTGGCACAATTTCCTTATGAAAAACACAACACAAATCTCATCTGGGTGCAGCAGTGGCACAAACAAACACAGATGTGCCCAGATCAGGGCTACAGCTCACAGACAGAGGGATTTGGGGCAATGCTGTTCCCTGGCTTTCCAGGAACCAGGATCCCAAAAGAATCCTGAATTTAGGGGAACAGAAAACACCTGAGGAAATGGATATAACCTCCAGCAGGTCTGGCTGCTCTCTGCAACCTTCCTATGAAATTCATTTAGGGCCAAAGACCAGGATGGTGTTCCTGGATTAAAACTCCCCATCTCTGCATGGCATGAGATATTTAACTCTAGGGAGAAAAACTGATTAAAAATAATGAATAGTTCTGAGCACTGATTGTATTTGGGAAAATGAAGAACGCCAAGGGTTTCACTGCCCTGAAGAACATCCAAGGGCAGACCCCAAAGCCCCCAAACCACGGAAAAGCAGCTCAATGCAGACAGGAAGGAAAAAGCTCCGTGCTCTCCAAGCGTCCTTTCAGGATCTGCCAGGAAATGAACCCAGCGAGGGGATGAGGGGAAGGAGGAGTGGTACCTACTGCTGGATGGTGCTGTGGTGCCTCCTGGTGCCAAGCAGGATTTGGGAATTCATTCTGCCCTTCCCCACGATTTAAACATGCAGGCTGAGTGCACATGCTCAGAGATGGCTGAAACCACAGGCCAGGACTGGAGAATCCCCTGGAGCACCAAAGGAACCCCAAAAACCAGAAAGAACCACACGGCAGCAGTGCAGGAGCCTGCACAGGGATGGTTTGCACGTTCCAGCCTGGGATGCACGGCACAACCTGGCTTGGTGGGGCAGCCCTGGGGCGAAGCAGGAACTCTGTGCAGTGCACAAATACGTATCCACCTGGGCTAAGGGACCAGTCCTAAATACGTATTTGCACAAACCTAAAAACTTGTTTACCAAAGAGACAGGAACTGCTCCAAAGGCTTCAGCCAGAGCTCCGTTGTGCTGCAAATCAGAGAAGCAGAAGATGCTCAGACACCAACGCTGCCAGCAGGCACAGCCACCCAGGCTCTGCCTTCACACCATCCCAGAGCCTCAGACTGCAAAAACCTGGAAAGCTTTTCCCCCTGCTACAAACACACGGGCTTGTTTTGTTGTTTGTCACCATTTGTTATCTGGAACAACATCAATTTGGGTTTTTTTTTAGTGTGTGTGTGTGTGTGTGAAAAAATAGAGAAAACCCCAGGGTGTAAGGATAGCTTGTTTCTGTCTCCTCCTCCAGTCATTCATGAATGTTTGAATATTCCCTTTTCAGCAGGCAGGATTAGAACAGTCCAGGTCCATCAAGCACAGAAATACTGAAATTTTGTTGTTTAACAGGAGTTCTTAATGCCCTTAACAAAAAGCTGAAGAGAAAAGCTTGAACAGAGCAGAGCTGTGGAGCAACACTGGGGACTCCAATCCACTACAAACCTCTGCCCTGTATTCCCCAAAGAATTAAAGATTCAAATAGACTTTTGCCTCTCCTCCTGCATGAGATTCGAGCTTTTAACCTGCCAGAATCCAGCTGTCTGCACCTATTTCAAGCAGCAGTTAGATGAGGTCAGCAAGAGTTTCTCCATCTTTATTAAGCAGCCTTCATCAGAAAACCACAAACTGCAAAATTTCCTTCCCACCACATCCTCGTGAGCTCAACTGTAACTCTGACTGCTCAAAAAAGGAAAACCAATGCAGAAATGTTCATTATTTTGAGCTCTCTAAATCAACTAAATGTGGAAATCAGGAGTCCACAAAGGATCTACCAGCTAATCCTGTCCTTGGACAACATCCTCTGTCCAAACATGCTTCAAACAGCAAAATATTCACCTGAAACTCTGATTTTGTTTAAGGTGCATCATTCCTGGAGTCACAAAACCCAGCCAGGACTTTCTTACATTTCCTTTCCAAAAAGAAGTGATAATTCTGACACCACGTTGTGTCCCACTGCTCTCCTCCTCTCCCAGGATTCCTCCCACAGAACATGCACATCAATTCCTCCACCCCAACATCATCTTTATTTCCTCCCATTTTGCTTTGAATTCACATCTTCCCAGACTCCATCAGGAATTGCACCTCTCAGAGAACTAAAATCTACCACAATCAACACAAAAAATCCCCCCAGACCCCAACCCAGCAGAGCTTTCAGAGCAGGGTGTGAGCTCTGGAGCAGCAGCTGCCTGGGGACACAGCTGGGACACAGCTGGGACACAGCTGGGACACACGATCCCAGCCCAGCATCCCTCACCAAACACAAGGAAAAGCCTCAGAACTCACCTGGAAGGGGAGATCCATGGCACTGTTCCCAATCTGATTCACATTTGGCAATGACCCCCCATAGTACTGGCCACGACTCTGCCCCAGTTGCAAATATTGGGTTTTCTGCAGCTGTAGCTGAAAGAAAAGAAGGAGGAAAACACAATTTCATCAGTGATAACCAGCACACTGTGATCACTGAGAATGGAAACCATTAAAGGGCATCAATCCAACTTTTCCAAAGGAGGGCCGACCTTCCCCACAGGTTTCTTGCAGCAGGAAAAGCCCTGGGAAGGGCAGGGAGGATTTGCAGGGAAAGGCAGAGCCAGGCTCTCAAACGGAGCCCAGAGAGGATTTGACAGGGAACCCCTCGAGCCAAGGAACACCCAAAGCACCAGCAGGAACCCCCTGAGGCACAGACACACACACGGGGCCTGCAGAGCTGCCCTGGGCTGCAGGAACCACCCTCAGGAACACGGCCCAGGGGTCTGCCAGGGCTGGAGACACTGCTGGGGGTGCAGCTGGGGGCTGAGGGAGCTCAGGGGCGCAGGGATGGTCAGGAGAGCTCAGGGATGGTCAGGAGAGCTCAGGGATGTTTAGGATGCTCAGGGATGCTCAGAGATGTTTAGGATGCTGAGGAATGCTCAGGGATGCTCAGGGATGCTCAGGGATGCTCAGAGGAGCTCAGGGATGCTCAGGGATGTTTAGGATGCTCAGGGATGCTCAGGGATGTTCAGGGATGCCCAGAGGAGCTCAGGGATGTTCAGGGATGTTCAGGGATGTTCAGGAGTGCTCAGGAGTGCTCAGAGGAACTCAGGGATGCTCATAGGAGCTCAGGGATGTTTAGGATGCTGAGGGATGCTGAGGGATGCTCAGGGATGCTCAGGGATGCTCAGGGATGTTCAGGGGAGCTCAGGGATGTTCAAGGGTACTCAGGGATGTTCAGGGATGCTCAGGGATGTTCAGGGATGCTCAGAGGAGCTCAGGGATGTTTAGGATACTGAGGAATGCTCAGGGATGCTCAGAGGAGCTCAGGGATGTTCAGGAGTGCTCAGGGATGTTTAGGATGCTGAGGAATGCTCAGGGATGCTCAGGGATGCTCAGGGATGCTCAGGGATGTTTAGGATGCTCAGGGATGCTCAGGAATGCTCAGGGATGTTCAGGGATGTTCAGAGGAGCTCAGGGATGCTCAGGGATGCTCAGGGATGTTCAGGGGAGCTCAGGGATGCTCAGAGGAGCTCAGGGATGTTCAGGGTTCTAAAGGATGTTCAGGGGTGCTCAGGGATGCTCAGGGATGCTCAGGAATGCTCAGGGATGTTCAGGGATGTTCAGGGATGCTGAGGAATGCTCAGGGATGCTCAGAGGAGCTCAGGGATGCTCAGGGATGTTTAGGATGCTCAGAGGAGCTCAGGGATGCTCAGGGTTCTCAAGGATGTTCAGGGGTGCCCCAGGTGCCCCCAGCACAGTGCCAGCACCCAGACAGGANTCAAGCCCAGCTCCCGCCATGCACGGGACACCCCAAGAATCCCAAGTCAGACCTGCAATCCCAATAATCCCCTGCTAAGAGCATTAGAGCCCAGCCCAATAACTGGCATCGATGAGAGCTGAGCTGTTATTGATCAGCAGAGCAGGAATCAGCTGAGCCTGGCCCAGCCCCAGCTCTGCACTTTTAGCACTCCAAGAGAGCCAATTATTACTCATGAGTTCATGTTTTCTTCACCTTCCTGTTGAAGAGATTATTTAAGACCTCAAATCACTTAACTGGATTGTTTTGTCCTCTCATGAGTCATCTCCAAGGGCCCCAGCAGGTTCTGTGCAGGAGCTGGAAAAGGGCGAGGAAAGGGGCTGGAAAAGGAGCCGGCTCTGAGCTCTGCCCCAGCTGCAATTCTGTCAGAGCACAAAGATCTCACAGCCCCCAACACACAGCGCACTCAAACCCGGGTTTTTCTAAAGAATTTTTTGTTTTACAAGAAAAAGACAATTTTTTTTTCCATAAGAAAAATATGTTATTCCTTGTGAACCCAAAGAAAGAGGAGGGAAGAGAGGAGGTAACAGCACTTAATGCTGTGATTATTTTTTATTCTTTATTTCTTTTCTAATTTCTGAATGGTGAAAACAGAGAAAAACTGTCTTTTTCTCCCCAAAATGAATGAATATAAATCATTGGGTGGCCGAGGGCAAAGCCTCATTAGGAGCACACCTTGCAGGATTTAAAGAAACAAACGAAACCATCCGAATAAAGAATGAAACTGCACGCACAGGCTGTGACTCGCTGTTTGAAAACACTTTGCTATTTCTGGTGAACAAAGGTTTACTGTTTAAAACTTCACAGTCACAACTGAGCAGCAAAAACAGGATACAGCAAAGTGGAGCCTTAAAATAGTGACTGTTCTGGTGAGTGGGGCTCTATGGGCGGGCACGGAGCCAAGCNGAGCAGGGTGCAGAGCAGCTCCTGGCTCTCCCAGCCCCGTCTGCCAGCCCGTGCCTGGGCTCCCCCTCAGGAAGAGGCAGATTTCCACAGCCACCCATTTCCTGCATCCCCAGCCCTGCTCCAAGAGCAGCAGAGGCTCCAGAGGCGCAGCTGTTCCTCCCAGGAAGGAGGGGAGAGGAAATGAAGGCTGCGGTTGAGAGGAAAGGGATAATCCACAGCGAGAGCAGCTGCTCTGCTGCCTCCACGGGGACCTCAGGGATTCCAGCAGCAGCTTGGAACAAAATGTTTTGCAACAGTTGGGGGTGGTTTGAATGCTCTGGGTGGTTTTGGTGCCATGAAAGCGAAGCTCTGAAGGCTGGCTGGGACACAGGAGGGAGGACAAGCCCAGCACAAGTTTCCCTTGCTGCCCGTGCCAATCCCTGCTGGGCTCCGAGGACCCTGCTGCCCTGGAGAGATGGATTTCGCAGGGGATGGGACAAAGGCAAAGCCAAAACAGGAAGCCAAATGTCTACCAGAAACGAGTGAAAATTGCCCCGAGGAGCTGCAGACACACGGGCTGAACCGGCTGTGACCCCAGCCGTGGAACTGCTACATCATTGTTTACTGCTCCCAGCACCGCTGCCACTGCAGCCACTCCAGGGTTTGTGATCCCATCGCCGGCAGGACACAAACACGGCTCACGCCAAGGCAGCCGGGAACAGCAAAAATACAGGGAAAGGCCAAAAAAAAGCATTTTTGCTGCTTTTTTGGGTTCTTTTTTTTTGAAGGGAAGGAAGCTGTTGTAATAGCTTGGAATTTAGCAGCCACAAAAGAGCAGCAGTTTTGTTTCTGCCACTGAGACACTTCCCAAGCAACTCCTTCCTCAGGCCAGCCTTGATTTTCAGGGATTTTAACTTTCACCCCTATGCACTAAAACACCCAAATCTTCTCCAAAACTTCAAAAATGAACACCAAAGCAGGAGGTGACACCTCCAAGGACCAGGAGCAAAGGGTTGTGCTGCTGCCTGGAACTGCTCCAGCTCAGCACAGAGCAAAGGGGAGGCAAAATCCTCCTCCTGCATCTNCGTTTCGTGCTGGATACCCAAAGCAAAGAATTCCTTTTGGTTGTATTTGGATGGAGCTCGACACTCTGGAAGTTGTGTTTGTTTTGTGAGGGTTATCAGCTGCCAATGAAAGGTGCAGAGTTGGGAGCAAGGATCACTTTGTCTGTGTTATCATCAGACTCTGGGCAGTTGGTGACTCGTGGAGAGCAACCCCAAAAACCAACCCAAAGAGCAGAGACACGGCCCTGCCCCACACAGCTGAGGTGCCACACTGCACTGATCACTACCAACCAACCTAAAAATGAATGTCTCACACAAAAGGCTGAGCTAAAAGGGACCTGCTTTTCTAAAAGCAAATATTCTTCTGAGCAGGGATCTGATGGAGAAACAATTGTCCAGCTTCACTAAAAACCTCCTCAACCATCCCCATTCCTCTATTGAAATGCCTCAGAAAAGCTGAAATAAAAGCAGAGATGCCCTCATTAAGTAAGATGAAAATAGCTTTTATGTTCCATTTTTTATTTTTAGCTAAAGAATGAAAATTCAGTTATGTAACCCTACAAGTTTCGTAAATTAGGAGCCAGGCAGGGCATGCTTGCACTCTTTGGGGTTCGGGGCCACCTCACCCTGCCCTCAGATGGCCAAAAGACACAGAAAATTGTTTGTGGCTTGAAAATGTGGCATCAGCCAACCCTTCAGGTATCAAAAACATCCCAAACACCATCAGAGTCCAAATCCTTCGAATGCAAAAGGCTCATTCAGCACCAGCATCTCCCTGAACCAGAGGCAAATCTAATTACAGCCAGAAGGTCAATCAGACATCTGAATCTGAGCTGGCTGCTGGAAACCTTGCAATATTTGAGATATTAAATAAATTTTAAATCAGATATTCTCTATCCCCGTCGCTGCCAGCAATACAATCCACTGAGCCTGCAAGGAACCAAGGAGTGAGGGTGTGAACAATCCCTGCCCGCCCCTCTCCCACGGAGGTTCTCCATTCCTTGAATCCAGCTTACAGATGTTGAAACCCCACTCTGAGGCTCCAGAGCTGCAGCAATCTCCTGCACAAGGCCCCAGCCTGTCACCAACAGCTGCTGCTCTGTCTGAGGTGGGAGCTGTCACCACCTGCCTGCAGATTCATGCATTTGGGATATCAGCTCCAGCTCCCTCCCCTCCCAGACCTCAGCCGTCCAAGGAAAATCATCTTCACATAAACAGTAAGAGCTGGGTGCCAACATTAACTGCAAATTCATCTGCCAGAGCTGCAGTGTGCAGTTCACACATCTCACTGCTCTGCAGGGCTAAGGAAGCAGTGAGAGCAGCAGGGAGCAGNTCAGGGGTGCCCCAGGTGCCCCCAGCACAGTGCCAGCACCCAGACAGGACGCAGAGACAAGGCCCAGCCCGTTTGCTCCATGCCAACACTCCGGGCAGTGCCCATGCAGGATCACACAACCCCAGAGTGGTTTGGGCTGGAGGGACCTCAGGGATCTCCTTATCCCCCACCCACCAGCCCAGGGGGCTCCAGCCCGGCCCTGGGCACTGCCAGGGGTCAGGGGCACCACAGCTGGGCTGGGAATCCACCCAGAGCCTCCCACCCTCCCAGGCACGGAATTTCATATTCAAATAGTCCCTGAGTACAAGCTCGCCCTGAGCACGCATCTTCC